TAGTAAATTATTTTTATTTTATTGTTGAAAGTGGAAGAGTTTTTTGTTTCTTTGGTCTGGCTTACTAGAAGTATGGGATATATTAAATGCTGTACCTATAGAAACACTCATCCATTATACGTTGTCTTTTTTTAATTGTTAATGTTATCATCATTTGTTTGCTTTTTTGTCATTCTGTGTTCGTACAAACATATCCCTCAATAGAAAATGACGCTTGTGCACACATGGATGGTATGAGAGGTGAAAATTTTAAGGCAAGGGATTGTCTTTCTACATCAACACCTTTACCCCCTGAAGTGGGCTGCATGAGAAAATACTTCATATTATTTGTGAGTCTATGAGTGTGTGATGGATGAAAGGAACAGATATAATATTGTTAGTTACATGCATTGGATTCTATGTTCTCATGCCTAATCAGAAAAAAAAAGTCAATGCATCACTGCAACAAAAGTGCTCTATAAATAAATCTGAAAAAAATAAATAATACAAAACTATTTTGGCTTAAAATGAAATACCCTTTTTAAGTTATAGACTATACTCTATTTATTGACAGGATAAGAGATACATATTCAAGTACAAGCCATAAAGCTTATCAAGTATGTTCATGAGGATCATTTTTTGTTTTTGAATCATTGGCATTTGCTACAGACTCTTTTAACTTGCGTATCTTCTCCCGTCTTTCCTTTTTGATGGCAGCCGTTATTTCACTCACCCTTTTATTTTCTCTTTTAGTTTGTGCTTCAACACTATCCTCACCATTAATGAAATTGTCCAAAAGTTGGGTGAGACGAACTCGAGCAATCTTGCGGTTTTGATCCAAAGAGCGAGATTCATGACAGCGAACAACAATTCCTGCACCAGTTCAGTAAAGAATAAGTCACTTCTTGGGAAGAAGAGTTTAACATTCCAATTACAAATGAGTTACAACATGACGTGGAGAAAAGCTTGACTTCAGGCTGTATAAAGTCCCTCCTGCAGCACGGAAGGCAATGCAGGCAGTAAGAAGAACTATAATAAAATTTGGCAGAATTGCTGCCATGTAATGACCACTTGTGTTCAGTAGAGTTAGACTTGAAGCAAGGAGGTGAGTTACAACAACCCACGCAATTTTAGCAAAATTTACTTGATCAACACCATTGAAAAATATTACACTCCAAAACACATGAAGTAAAACAAAGCACAGAGCAAGACTAGCCGAAACAAGAAGGAAATTATCAGAGCCTGCCTTCAGTCCCACAGTAGCAGGCCCAACTAAATCAGCCAACACATTAATTATTGAAAAAACTCCACTCATCACACCAAACCCAACACCTGCTGCATATGACATCATTTTCCAATTGATAGCATTGGAATCAAACATTGCATTCAAACCATTGTTGAACACACTCATAGCGCAGTACAACAGATATCGGAACCCCTCCTGACAGAGTACAGAGAGAACAACAGAGAGGACTAGCTGAACTGAGTGTGGCATTAAAGTTAACCCAATAAGCAGCCATAGAACTGATGAAAGTAATGAAGATAGCAGCCAAAAGAAACCACTTCCAAACACTACTATCACAAGAACAGGATCTTGGGCAATAGTTAAAGTAAGCATGGATATGGCAGGGCCAAAGGCAATGAATGCACAACCAAAAAAGGTGCACAACGTCATGGTTAGTAGTTGATTTTCTCCACCTCAGCTATATAATAATGGTCTTTAGATTTTAGAGGTTTGTACCTGAAGGTAAGTGCTTTAACAAAACACAGTTCGAAGATTTATTGACTGACTGCCCGCCTGGACCACTTCCCCTCACAAATTGCTCATGCAAGTCCTCTTCTTGAAGTTCAGGGACTTTGGATGTGTCAGGAGTAAATTTCGACCGTGCAAGAAAAGGTATCCTCAGGCCAGAAGGAAGTCCAAATGATCGGAGAGTCTTCAAAACTGGGAACATTCTAGATAAGTCTCTTCCTCTGTAACAGACTCTGCCCCTTCTGAAAATATTAGAAAATAAGTTAAACCTTTAAAGAGAGACCTGTTTAATACAAAAGGATAATTCTATCGACCTTAAACATAAACTCAATTTTTTCTGGGGCCTGCAGATCTTTGTTTGCACGAAACTCCTCCCTCACTCTTCTCAAATAGTATTGCTTATCTGTTAGTTGGAGGTTCTGACCATATCGAATCAAACTCCGGTACAGTTGCAAGACTTGAGTTGGGCTAACGAGAGTTGTCATCGTCTAAAACGTTGTCTGGAAAGAAAAAGTAAAATCAGAATCTTTACAATCTTCACCTGTGAGGTAAAGAGAGTTAGGTTAAGTCTTTATCCTCAATATTCTCGATGATGTGACTGTGACTCAGTACGTACATTATGAGGATGATATTTACATTAAAAAAAACTGGGTGGACATTATTAAACGTTCATTTTCGGTCAAAATAACTTGAAAACTAGTCAGAATCAAAGAATATTGACAAAGTCGTAAACAAGTCGGCTGTCGGCTGCTGAGATGCACCGCCTTTTGCTTGCGACAAAGTCCCGAAGTACTCAAACCCTTATTGCTTGTTATAGAAGGCAGTGTAAATGTGCGTGTGTTATGTTTTTGAAATTTGAAATTTTGTGTAAACCGTTGTGTGATTCCTTTTAATTCTTGTCGCAGTAACAAACCGGCAATCATTCGCTGAGAGTGAGAGATTGTAAAGAAATTTCGAGGTTTTGTCAAAGGTAATCTTTATGTTTTGTTTGCTTCGGCCAACTCTGTGTCGATACTTTCTATCCGTCGTGGTTATGCTTGTCAAAGAAAACCAGTTTTAAAAGTAGGATTAACCAGTCGATTTATGTCAGTTATTGTTTTTATCCTTTGCTATCTCTGCTGTCCTCTAGGAAAATGGATCTCGTTGGTAAAATTGATCCAGCGGAAGTTCTCTCGCATTTGAACCATTTAGGTTACCAGAACATCACTCCCCTCCAACTGAAGGAGTTCATCAGAGGCAAGTTTTCAGAGGGTCCTGACGTTTCAAGTTGGTCTTCTGATTGTCTAATTCTCATTTCCATTTTCTTTGATAGACTTGAAAAAGCTGATTGTCCATGATCAACTCAGCTCCAGCTCAGGATCCAGTTCAGACTCTCTGACATCACTTTCATCCTCAGTTACCTCTGAGTCTGAGTATTACTCCACAAGCGAAACTTCATCTGATCAGACAGGCGCACTAAGCAATGTGTGCAGGAATAAAAAATCGAACCCTGTTAAATGCGATTTTATTAAAGGAAATAGTAAAAGTAGGCCGAGTCAGCCTGTTTCCAATGTCTCAACCACAACTGCATTTTCTGGTAATTTTAATTTACACATCCACCTCCAAAGTCTCAAAATTTGAAGAGCTGTTATGTGTAATTCCTTTTTCTTCCAGGAGGAACCTTGAGGAGAAGCTCCACATCATCATCATCTATATCCGGGAAATTAACACATAAAGAGAATATGCCTCCAAGAAGGGGACGGACTCAATCTGTCAGTGAGGAATATTTACAGGAAGCTGTCAGACCTAAAACCTCATGTAGGTTTCTTGTGAACACAAGTTACTTAGTAAGTGGTTCTATTTCAATCAGAAATTAAAACAATATTCTACTTCTAGTCATTCGACCTTGGCAACTACAAGGACAACCTTCTGGACCATCAAGAGTGGGACCCAGTGACCCTGTTAGCAGATATCATTACTACCAGTCCTTGTGGGCAAAACACAAGTGCCCAGGCGAGGATTCTCATGCTGATCTACGCTGGGTGATACGTGAAAAAATGCTTGGACAAGATCCTCATCTGTACTCTAAAAACGTAAGCTCACGTTCTTGCATGTGATTTGCTGTCAATTTCCTGTTATCATGAAATTTATTTATTTATTCTTTTCTAATTTTTACAGCAGGTTGCAGTGAAGAAGGTTAATAGAATAAGGATGTGAAAACAACCTCAATGTATTATAGAAAAAAAGTATTTGTCCTTTGCAAATTTGTACACAAGTAAGCTTTTATAGTTGCATTACGTAATGTTTGAGTATGGCTCCGAACCTTGATCTTGTTATCTATTTAATTCTTGAACCAGTTTATGGCTAGTTTAGTTTAGAGGTTTCCTCCCTGTGCCACTATCCACTGACTGTGACTATGTTAATCTTTGTTTATGATTTAGTGACAAATTGGCTTAGTTTGCTTGCAAAGCTTAGTCTACGAGGGACATTGACATGTATTCATACTAATCTTATAATGATTGGTCCCTATTTTCATTAACTTGACCAGAATGAAGTCATGTACAGTTAGTTATTGTTGCTCAAACTGTTCTTCTAATTAATTTTAAAGTCTGAAATCTCTTCTGTTCTTTTGTTACCAGTGCATAGTAGAGAAGACATCCGTCCTGTCCAGGGAGATCTCCTGTTAATAATCCATTTTTATTGAACCTATTGCTTTAAAAAACTCCTATATAATTGGAAAATTTGGGTTTACTCTTAAACATGGATTATTGAC